GCACGCGCCATCCGCACTGCATCTCGACACCAACCAGGCGGGTGTCGCTCGAGTCCAAGGGCGATTGCCGAGGCAGCGCAAGCATCGTAGCGAACTGTGGAAGGAAATCGACAGTCGTGACACGCCCCACGTCGATACGGACACACGGTTGTATTATGTAGTGGATCGAACGCGATGAAATAGGAGAGTACGGTGGGGTTTAGACAATTTTGGAAGGCACAGTGGAGACAACGGGGGTCGTATTCGGGGCATACACGTTGTTGCCGTCTTCTGCGCTCCCTTCCGATGGCACGCGGGCGGGCGTTGCGAACGCGATCGTGGCTTCGCCTTTCTTCTTCCAGATAAAGTATCCGATGCAAACTAAGCACACGAGGGTGGTGCCCCACATCCAGGCAAAGCCCCCTACAAGTCGAACCAGTCTGTCAGTTATAGAGAGCATCGGCATGGACTTCACACGCACCCGAGTCCTTCATGATGCCATCTCCCATCTTGAACAAGCCACGTCAATTGAATTATGAGCCTGTCACGTCCGTGGCGGTGATGCGCACGCAGTCGAGTAGAAATGGGCCCGCAGGTGCCTGGCTCATCGTGGGAACCACCTGTTCATTTTTCGGAAAACCTTGAATTTCGAACCAAATTCGACCAATCCAATCGCTCCAATTCGTCGATATTTCGAAAATCGTAGACCAATTCGGACGAAGATGGTCTTTGGTCTGGATTCTGATCTTGGCACGCGATATTGCAATGTGATTGGCTGCATGATGCGAGATTGAGCCAATCAAATCAGGAATCGGAGCCTCGGGAGTTACGCTCGCCATGAATCCAGTGACCTCCCGTTGAGCAAAATCCCCGATGACTCAAGTAGGAGCGGAGAGGAGGATGCTCCCCATGCAAGCTAAGCCAGTAAGGACTCCGGTAGCGTGCCAAGGGAGTCTACTTGGTGCAGACTTGTGACGACATACGCAGTTTTCACTCTTGGGTCTCGACCGACCTACTTGTAGCAATTTTGTT